TTCGTTCGTTCGGCGGAAGTGTAAAAATCCCGCGAAGTACTCGCGGTACCGAATCGAGAAGGAGGAAGGCGGGAGACTTAGTGATAGATTCGAGTATGATATATATTTGTAATATTTAAGGCCCATCAAATTTAAAATTGCATAATTTGCCGTAATAATAATTCGCGAAATTTTATCGTGACTTTATCGCAGAATGTGCTTCCGGAGATGAAGATAAGATGTATGATTTCCTGGGGGTGAAGAACGAAGAGAATGCAAACAGAACGACGTACGCTCATACACAGAGATTATTTTATTACAGTTCTTTGTCTTCCGCTGCTACAATCGCGTGGTCGAATCAACGGTACTGCATGACACTGCATAGGTATAGAATTCATCGACAAATTTATTAAATGATTTGCATACCTATACTCTTTTACTCCAGAAGTATATTTATATGAAACTGAATTTTCACGAGTTTGATTATTGTTTGATTTGCCATATTTTTATTTCTCTTCGATCGTCCATCTTCATCTTTTGCAATTGCATTTGTCGGTGTTCGATGTAATGGCTATACGGCATTACAAACTCCAATATCGCAACGCTAATGTCACGGAACGCGAAGCCGAGAGAAAACATCGGGCAGACAGCGGCGCGCAGGAGGCCATTAGGAACGGATGAGTAATAATGCGTGATGAATTGCGCGCACGCGGCGTGCATTCGTTGCGCGGACGCGCGACTGCAACGTCGGAAGACAAAGTGCGGAAAATGATCTTCGCGCGAGCGTGCGTTTCTCTCGCGCGGGTGCGGGCGCGCGCCCCCACGGATCGAGGGCGCGCCTCATCTTCACCCTCCGGCAGCGTTCTGCGGTTAAACTTACGATGAAATTTCGCGAATTCCTTTCGCCGCGAGAATCTCCCAAGATCGAATACGGCGTACTCGTATATACCACCGGCGTACGCTATCGGGAAGGCATTTACGCTCGCTCGACGGCGGCGAGATCCGCGCTCGCGGAATTCAACGTGGATCCGTAATCCGCCGGCGGGATGAGAGGCAAGGGTTATGCGGAGAAGCCCGACTTTATATTGCGCTCGATGCTTCGTGTTTCGTTTTCTCCCGCGATAAAGTAATAGAAATTGCATTATCGAGTCCGCGCGATTGGATCTCTGTTGTCGCCGTTGCGACATCTGAATTGGCTGTACGAATTGCAAGAAAAAAAATGCCATGAAAGAATTTGGAAGATTGAAAAATTATGAATCTGTTTTATATAGAATTTATTTTAATTTGATATAGAGATAAACATACAGATAGAGATACATACATATATATATATATATATATATATATATATATATATATATCAAAATTAACAAACTCGACGTGATTAAAGGGTTACATACACTCAGGTGAGTAAAAAAATCGATTTTTTAATTTTTACGTATTTTTCTTATAATGTCATATTTTGAGAATATTTTCTTAAAGTTGCAACTCAGAATGCACTAAAATAAAAAAGTTATAGCGTTTTAAAGAGATGGGCATTACGCCGGGCGAACGCTGCTAGACAAACTCCGCAGGGCTCCGTTCGGTTGTACGTGTTTCTATTGTTCGAGATCCTTTGTCCCTTACCTACAGAAGATTTACTATACAGATTTACTATACCTGGGATAAATGATTTCATGTAAGTCAAAAGAAATCGTTTATATATAGCTTAAAAAGCTAAAAATAAATTTAAAACTTTGAACGCGTTTTTTTTTTCGAAACCGTTTCTCAAATCGGTGCCCAAAATATTTCGACAACGAGTGAATGGATCGAACTCGGGTTCTTTCTATTTTTTCAGCATATAAAATATGTAGTTCTATCTTAAAGGTTTTTTTTACGTCTTGGTTTTGTTTTTACCGCCAAAAAATTAATTTTTAGACAATAATTCGTACTCTTATACTCAGATATACGTCATTTTGCTACAATTGTGAAATTTAAAAATCGGCGACTGTAAAAACTAGATTTATTTATATATTTTCAGAATCTATATAGCGTTTTTTTATGTTTGAAATGAATATAGATTATACAGAAGGTACCGCAAAAAGTTACAACAGCTAACCTGATGCCAATGGCATCTGCTTTATTTTTCAATATTTTTTAATAACAATTTTATATAAAATATTGATACAAACTCTATTTTAATATTTCTAATTCAGGAGAAAAAATCATGAATATATGACTATTTTTGATGCCTCTGGGTATATGTAACCCTTTACAAAATTTACATGTTTAATTATATTTGATAATGAATCAAAGAAGTTCCTCGCAGAGGTAATAGGGAATTTCCCTATTACGATTTTAAATAATTGTATTCTAAATCATTCATTTTTTATTTTAATATCTATGAATATCTATGATTTTTAAGTCTTCCTAGGAATCTTGTAATTGTGCTGAAACAACAAATACGTTTATCGGTTTTACTTATACGATTATCTTTTTGAATATCTGTTTGAATTTAATGATTGTGGTCTCGACGGTGCATACAGGAAGCCATGAGTTGCCGATCGACGGCACACTCGCGGATCTTTTGCGCCGGGGCCAGATCTGCCTTTGTCGATGCGAGCTTTAAAAGCAACCTGTTGAAAGTTCCGAACTGTGCACGCGGCGTACGACGCGTGTCAGTCGTGGGAGTTTGAATCTGATTTACGTGTGACGCGCCATGTACGCGCAAACTTTCAAAAACTTTCGAAAACGATTCCGGCGCCACTCTCCGCATTTATTATCATAATACCGCATCATGGCATTATCGCTTTTCGGATAATGCTCAACTACAAACTAATCCACGAGACGCGTTTGCATTTTGCATCCGAATACCTCTGACATCCCAGTCATTTATCGTCGTTTACAAACTGAAGACATCTTATTCGAGCATCTGTCATATTTTATTAGCGACACAAACCTTTATTTTATGATAATTTTATACCAAGAATTAAAAAAACGCAGAATTTTGTACAAGCTTTTTCGAATCTTTGCTATCTATTATCCAAATTTTTATTCACAATTGTTCCAAAGATCCGCGAGGTAAAGATATTAAAAATAGTTTAAGGTTTCTGAACAACGGTATAATACAGTTTCTAGACTTCTATTAGACAAGAGAGGCAAATCAATTCGGCTAATTGTTAGAATTCTAATATTACATGCTCGCTCAAGCGATCGTGAGAAATCGATGGCACGTGTTCGTGTGTAGGTATTTGCAGTAACACTGCATGGAAAATTATGGCAGCTACAAATTTCACTTCCCGGTTCACTTAAGAGCACGGGCGGATAATCGCGTCCGGCGAATTCGAGTGGGCCAACAAATCTCGCCGGCCCGACCATAAAGGCAATCGCACGAACGAGAGAGATCTCAGTTCGATTTATATGAACGCCGGGGCGCTCGATACCCGGGCGGACTCGTCCACCATTAAATCGAGCGTCGCGAGAGATCGCTTTTCGAACTCGCTTCTCCGCTATTTTTCCCCTTTCTCTCTTTCTCTCTCTCTCTCTCGCAAGCGCGCGCGCGCGCGCGCGGCAGAGAGGATTTCGCGGTTAACAAAGAAAGAAATCACCGCGAGACGTGTCCCGATAAATCGCCGTGAAACGGCGAACAGAATGCTGCGGTTCGATCCCGCACGAATCGTGGCCTGTCGATCGCACGCGATCGCCGGTCCATCGCGATAATTAGCGGATATCAAAGAGTCGTAGCGAATATCAAAGACGACGAGCTCGCGAACGTGCATTTGACAGTCGAGCTTCGCAGTCGAACGTGCGGTCATACGAATGAATCAATGCTGAAACGCTGATGACGCTCGTGTACGAGAGAATTTTATCTGTTATATAAGACGTCGCAGATATTGAACATTTTTCCTCCTTTCTCTTATATATTGATCGTTTAACAAGATTGTGCGGAGGAGTTAAATCCTTTTGCGAAACTCTGATTGCCATTTTATTTATAATTCTGTTCCCTATTTAATTGTCAATTTAAATGATGATATCTTTTCGCTGATAAAGTCGAAGGCTATTACAGAAGAATGAAAGTATCTTACAGCGTTCTCTGTTTTCATTTATTTCGCTCGGTTTAGCTTCCAAAAATGAAGCTCTTTCTGCGACACGCGAAAACTCATGAAGGGGAAATAGAGCTCTTGCAGCGGAGAATGACGCGCGCGTCTTGTTTATTTTATTTCCAAAAATTAAACTCCAGAATGCAAAATCCCCGGGACAAGGAAATAGAGTTCGGGGAATAAAAAATGGCACGTCCATACGTCTACGTTATTCCTAAAAATTAAATTCCTTTCGCAAAATGTAGGGCACATACGGGAAAAGTAACACGGTCGCAAAATAAAACACGGTGTGTCTCTCCGGTTTATTTTACTTTCAAAAATTGGAGGAAAAAGAACGGCAGAAAAGAAAAGATCAATTCCATCAAGAAACGGCAGAGTTCGAAAATATATATAGGAGCGCGGTGAGTCGCAATCGTGTGTTTATACTTTATTGTGTAATCAAATAAAGTATCTCAGTAATTATTTAGTGATTATTGCAGCCAACAACGCGTAAAGCCATTGCATATATAATCTGTACATTTTTATAATGCGATATAGTTGTTACGTCTTATTCGTTTTGTTCACCGTGCGAGTTCGAGTTTGGAATCTGGATAATAGGATCTGGATCATGCATGAGATTATAGGTTACTTCGCTTTCCCGCAATCGAATCGTGAATCGCTCACTTGGCTGATCGAACGAGTTCTTGCTCGTTAGCGCGCAATTGCCTCGCAAAAAGAGGCAATGTTAATTACCGTGGAACGAAATTGGGCGTCTGGATGCTAATTCTCTCGATTTGCGCTGATCATATAAGAAAATAATTTTAACGCGGATATGATAGATGAATGTGATTTTTATTGTTTAACTAATGTCTCACGAGATTTAATTTTCGTATGTATTTATCTAAAAAGTACGTGATACAGGCTTGTGTGACAATCGGTATATATGTGCAATGCTGTTTACAGGGACAGGTGCATCGCCATGTTAGCTTAAACTGGACTGAAGGACGAGTACGCCGCGGAATACGGAAGGATGCCAAGGCAAAGGGACCGCAAGATCAGGTATCAGGTAATGTCGTGAAATACGCCGACCGGAGTTTTCTCGCGCTTGCTCTCGCCCGTGCGGGATGTCGTCCCTTTGTTAGCGGGCGTTTTTGCCCTGTCTCCCTTCCGTTCCCCTCCCCCTCTTTTTTTAACAGCTAAAACTTCTCTCTCTTGTTCCTTTTTTTTTCCGTGCAAAAAAGTATCGTCCCGGGTTGATTATTCTGGGAAGGTCGTACACGAGGGTATGACTTCGGCAAAAAGGAGCTTGGTCCTTTGATCGGCGCATTAATGGAAGGCTCGCCACGTCCGGTCGTTGCGTTCGCGGGAAGAGCGACACCGGAGGAAGAGTCCTGTAAAATAAAGAAAGAAAGACTTTAAAGAATTTAGCAGGAAAATTAAAAGTATATTATAATATTTACAATAATAACGATGGAATACGATGGAATAAATATGATGGTAAGATTTATTTTGTTTGCGAAATCTCATTAAGTATGTATTTGGGCAAACGTATACGTAGCTGCTTATATTATTTCCATAACTCTACAAACTTAGAAAGAAGCATCGTCGAAGATATAAATGGAGAAATTTGAAATAAAAGGGTAATACGTATAAATAACATGCGCCAAATCAAACTTATCTTCTCATTCTATCAAATTTCTCCGGTTAAATAAGGCTTGAGCTGCGACCGTTATAAATAATCTCGTTTGGCATGTAAATAACGGCTTCCGTTGAAAAGTCCCGTTTCGAGAGGGAACGAGATAAAATAATAAAACGCCACTAAAATAACAGATATCCGTTCACGTTCTAATTTTCGTTCGAATTTAATTTTTTACTCCAATTAATCCGTGCGATCGAAATTGAGCGTTGCGAATAATTCGTCGGGGGATATAAGCGGTTCTCCGTGGGCGATGGAAGGCGGAAAGAAGAGAGAAAGGGGGATAAAATAGCGAAGCTGTGTAAGATAACACCGTGTTGAAGTAACGATCGCGCGCGCGCTGCGAACTTTCCTGTGCCCTCCTCCTCCTCCTCCTCCTCTCGCGGCTTCGTCCCCCCCTTCCTTCCTCCCTCCTCTCTTCGTACCCACTATCGCCCTTCGCGCTTCCAGCATCCAGGCGTCAAAGGAGCGCAGCCACTGGCTAATTCGATAATGCATTTTCGGAGGGTGGTTCGAGTGGCGGAAAAGAGAAAGGGGGAGAGTGAGAGAGAGAGTGAGAGCTTTGATTCGTCCAGCCTGAGATTACAGAGGAGGAAATCGGAAACCGAATTCCCATGTCGCGTATACCTTCCGACAGGTTTAGACGAACGATGCGTTTCGGAAATTCGGTTGAATTCGGAAAACGCCGACGTAGGAAACTATCTATTATCGTGACACTTTCAGGGGGAAATTCTCGTTGTAGTTTCGGTTGTGGCGATACGCGAATAGAAATATAGTATATGTGCCAAGAAATTGTATATACACATTTTAATTGGCATTGAATAATTTCTACATGGTATTATCATTTTTAATATCTTAATTAACATTTTAAAATTTGTTAAATAAATTTCAAATTATTTTGTAACATTATTAATGTATACATTTTGTATAAATTAGTTGCAAATGGACGTGACGGATATAATGAATGTTTACGAATCCCTTCGAATATCGTATTAATTAAGAATAATTTTTTGCGAATCTCGTTTTGCCTTTCACACGACTGTACATTCCAATATGATTACAACGTCATCACGCTGACGATCTTGCCTGTTGTGCATCTCATTAAATTCTCAGGACACTCGCGAAGGATGTCGCCACGTGTGCGAGTCGAGCGGGATGCAAGTTTCATAAAGGCGCGCCTCGTGAAATCGTAATTATTACGAACTGCGTTAATTCGTCGCGCCGGAAACGTGGAAAATTACGCGAAGAGAGGAGGATCGCGACATGTAGTCAAGTTCGCGGAATTTCATAGTTGTCAAAATTGTCGTTATACAATGAAGACAATAAAAGTATAGAGATATAAATTTTCCCGTAGATTTTTTTTACTTTTTATCAACTTCATGACACATATATTTGATTCACTTTTCCGATCAAGCAAATTTTTTTTTTAATCAAAACGTCCAAAGACAATTAGAATCATTCCAAAATCGGCCTCAAATATCGAAGCGTTCTAATGTCCCCTAATGATTCCATTTTCTTCCGATTTCAATATTCTATTAGATATTATATAGAATTGTCGAAAGACTATCTCGAGTTTTTGCCCTTCCACTTATGTGTACGAAACACACGTCCCGTTGTTTTTTTGTCCAGATACTCTATCGCATCGAGCTCGAAGCTTCCGTGGAAATCGGAGAGAACGGGGGTTTCCCGAGTCGTTCCTTGCGCGCCTAATCCGTCTCGGCGCGTCTCGGATTCACCGCGGCCGAATATATGTAGCCGCGCTAGTTAAACCCGATAGTAGCGCGGCCAAAGCTTTGAAACGGGAGATTTTGCGCGTTTATTTGTCATCGATATCCTGGACACTCCATTCCGTGTGCTATCTCTCCTCCTCCCCTCTACCCCTCCCCCGTCCTCTCCTAATGCGGCGTCGGATCCGATAAATCTCTTCTCGTCCGCGATATTGCACCGGCCGATCCGGAAAAAAAGCGCGAATTACACGCGCCAGACGGTCCGTGCCCCGCGCACGAAGACCGATTTTTTTTTCTTTTTTTTTTACGACAATCGCCCGAACTGTAAACGTTATCTTCCGATTTATCCAGGAAAAAACGCGGCAGTCGTACAATGCGAGCGGTATCCGATTTGGTTTTTATTTATGGATTTTTTCTGCTAAACTGCGGTTGACGTGGATAGAGAATAATCTGTTGTACAGAAAATTATTTTGGAATCGAAGTGCATTGAAATTGAGAGATGTGCCGCACGATAAGTGATGCACGGGAGTCTCTACATTGGCGAAACTTTAGCGCATTAGTGCACCCATTAATTTAAACAAATCGCAATCAAGTGCGAGCCAGACGTAGAGTTTTGTCAATATACAACTATCAAGTGTGGTCAGTATTATAAATATAAATCCTTTATTTTTTTTCCCCCTTTAACTGCTACATGCTAAAGAGCGTACATTTTCCATCTCGATTGTACGCCGACATTTTTATGCGACATTTTTACTCGATATTAAATGCAATTTTAACGTTTTATACGGATTAACAAACATTAACAGCGAGCGAAAGCACTTGGCGCGCGCGCGCGACTGCGGGCTCGATAAAGCACACAACGCGTATACGGCGGGCCCGCCGTCGTACCCCTTCCAGAAATTATCTCCATTACCGTCCCCCCGCGACGCGTCGCCGCCGGCTCGCCGAGGTGTGTTTTCTCAGCACATACGCGCGACCGCTCCGTTAAGAGGCCGAGGCGGCGACAGCGACGATAATTTCCAACGGGAATATTTTCCGAGGGATGAAACCGCCCCTAACGCCACGCGTGAGAGGGTGCCGAGAGTCTTTGCAGCCCTCTCCCCCCTCCCGTCTCCCCCGCTTTCCCCTCCTTCACCCCCCGGGCGGCGAGTAAACTCTCTCTCTCTCTCTCTCTCTCGCCCTCTCTCGTCCTCTCTCTTACATTTTCCATTATGTTCCCCGCAAGATTTTCCGCGTCCTCGAGAATCCGCCCCCGCCGCGCGTGTAAATTGGGGCTTTCGTCGCGACAAGGCCGACACGGACGGGGGGCAGAGGGGGGGAATTCGGTTTTAGCCTCACGCCGTCTCTTCCAACAGGTTTAATGGCGCGCCTATGGAGGAGGGCGTTAAATTTTGTCACCGAGCACAAAGGACCCAAAGGGTGAGAGCGTATCGTTTAGCGCGCGCCCGAGTGGGTGCCCCTGAAATTTTCGTCCGTCTCACCCTTCGCCCCGCTCGTCCTCCGTATCTCCTCCCCGCCTCTTCGAAAGCCTCCTCACTTTAGGCGCTAACGACGTTACTGATAATTACGATTTTGCAAAAGAGGTGAGTGAAATTCGCCGAGTCGGAAGGACTGCTGGATTGCTGAGAATCACCGCGAAGGACTGTCACCTGACGTTTAGTAATGACTATCAGGTACAGGACAATCAACATGACTCTGTTATTCCGCTTTCTCCAATAATAAAACATACTTTCCACTCCTGCCAAACGGAATTATCCGAGACTCATTAGAGAGCGTTAAACGTTCATTAAGCGGTTAATTTGATCTCGCCGTATCTCTCGTGTATATCTTTTAAGCGACGCACCGTCTCGCATCATCAGCGCGCCATTTTGGCGCGGTAACACGAGTCTGTACGTGATCATTACGAGTGTAATTCGACCGAGGAGGAGTACCGAATATGTACCGATGCGTTATTCCGCCGGGGTCGTGATTACTATAACGTTATCATTCGTAGCCAGGTGGGAACGCGTCTGGGGCTTTGTATACACGTTGCCGCGCACAATTTCGCCGACTGTAATTAGCGCGCGGTCGCGAGATTGAATGTTCCTCGCGGCGTGAAATTTGCGCAAAACCGACTTTGATTAGAGTTTATTACCGCGGCGCGTTTTTACCGCGCGCGCCCCCGTCGTTGTTAATTATCGCGTAATATAAAACGGATGGCCGCCCGGCGTGCGTGCGGCCGGCGCTCTCGTACACGACAGTTACCACCGCCGTCGGGCGGGCAAAATGTTTAATCATTTCCCCGGATTGCCCGGAAACAAACAGGAAATGGAGCGCTCGCATCGTTGATTCGACGCGACTTCTAATGAAATTACGTATATATGTCAATGGCACACACGCGCGTCGCGCTCCACCGCTTCGTTCGTCAGTTTGCAGCTCGAAAATTGCCATTTTTCTGGAATAGAGGGACGCAAAATTTCTCCCCGTTATAAAATAAAACCGTAAATAAAAACGCTAGTATGAATAAATAACAAAATACACGCAAAACAGAACGGCTGACCAATTTCAACTCTTCTCTCTCTTTTTTTTTTTGGAGGAAAACTCGACTAGATACCATTTTTTGCGCTCATTTAATTACTCTTAATTGCTCTTAATTACATTACTCGCAAATGCATATTCTACCGAAATTGAAATTCGCTTGAAATTACGCAAAGAATAAAATTCGATTCCCTCCATCTTCGACGATTAACTCGCGAATAGTCGCTTGATTTTCGCTCGCTTGGAAAAAAAAACACTACCGATATTTCGTATTCGATACTGACTGAGTAGTCACAGCTCGTATTCTCGGCTTCGACGTGGAATCGAAGTCCCGCTTTTAAGGTCGGCATAATCCCGGAAGCTCCCGGAGTCGGCGTAAATATTTGCCATTCAAAACAGTGGGTGGACTTCGTTTAAATATCGATGACAGCGAGTACCGACGGGGTTTCGC